TCAACTATCTCCCCGTTCAAGCTCTAGCCGCCGGCATGAGCAACGATCTTGCTCAGTACCTCATCCCCATTCTAAATGCCGCCTCCCTCTTCGGTCGTCTGTTTTCCGGATTCATGGGTGACAAGATTGGTCGATACAACATCTTCGTGGTCGTCTGCTACTTATCAGGCATCTGGATTCTCGCTTTGTGGATTCCCGATACTAGCAACCCCGCTCTCATCGCCTTCGCCGTCCTGTTCGGTTTCTGCTCCGGCGCTTATGTCTCTCTCATCGCCCCCCTCGTCATGCAGATCTCCCCCCTGCCCGAGATTGGCTTCCGTACCGGCCTTGTCTTCCTCATCTCTTCCATCGGCGGTCTCACCACCAACCCCATCAACGGAGCGATCCTCGAGGCTCCTCTTGGCTTCACCGGCATCAAGATCTTCTCCGGCATCATGTGTCTTGCCGGAACGACGCTCATCCTCATCGCTCGAATCCACCGCACTGGATTCAAGGTGCTTGTTGTATTCTAACTTAACTGCTAGAGTTTTCACTTTGTTCGGGCTTTGTATAGAATGGTATATATCCTAATTTTTGGGGGCAATCTTTATAGAACTAATTTGGACATTGGAACGGCGCTTCCTAGATTTACTCTACTCTGGAGAAATAGAACTCTGACGAATGATGAAGAATATCTAACCCAAACCATACATGCTTCTATTCCCTGGTGATACTACTTTATGCGAAGGCAATCATTTCCTGCCTTGCGATAGGAAAATTCAAGATCAAATTATGCCCTGGGGTACCACATATTGTTAGCCAATATTTCGGGAAACGACGCAGCGCTATTATGAACCAGTTAATTTTGTTTGTTTCTCAGGTCGCGAAGGTAGAGTAAGTTAATCCGTGATTCATGGTCTCTTATTCTAGTACCCAATCAAAGAGGTGCCGTCTTGGTAGCTACACGTTATCGTTCGTATTCCAACCTTTCAGCCACATGGTTGTCTCATCAGCGACGGAACACCGCATTAGCCCGTGAATACTTTATACGCTTTTGACTTCGTGGCTGGGCGCTAAGATCGGTGATACATCTCCGAGTTTTTAGATCGGGCATGACAATCGTGAGAGGAACGCTAATGGAGCTATCCTGGTTTCAGTAAAGTCTTGTATGCTCGACAATATCAAACCTGCAATTTACTTGGGTCTAGAGGCCTATTTTAGATCGAATTTGAATTGTGATAGGAAATGATTTTACATGTCTACGAATCATAGACCCCGTGAACAATAGCATGGGTTTGCTTGCATATTAAGCATGCTCATCTGACGATATGGTGGCTGAGGCACTTGTAACTGGCCATGTCTAATTTCGAATAAAGGCTGAAAATGGCGTCATCACTTGGCTCGCCAGACAGTAAAATCTAATGCCTACAAATGAATCTTTAGCCAAGGTTACGCAATCCCGTCCGCCGGACTCAGTGGTCGGCGACCATTACGGGTCCCAAGCTTGGCTGGTCGGCGACGATCGACCCCAGAGTCGCTATTTGTAATCCAAGGTATTTAAATAAGGGCCCGTTGGCCTTGTCTTTGTCCAACTCAACCACTTTCGAACTTATACTGATTTGTACGTGAACGTGAGTAGAGATGGCATCCTTTATATCTGGTGCTGCCTTCGGGGCTGCCATGTTTGCTGCCGGCTTTCACCACCCGTCCGTCATCGTCGCCCAGCTCAAGTTTGAAAACTTCCATATGATACAGGCTTTCCTCACGGCAACTGCCACTAGCGCGTAAGTACAGTTTTCCCCATGTTGAACAAATTTTATCCCGTAAACAACATCGGCGCCAAGCTTAACCCACTGACAACTGTGTAGGATCGTGTACACCATTGCGGAAAAACTCAACTATACTCATCTTAATCCCCGGCCAAACTCTCCGCTGGGACTGTTTGCCAAGTATGATGGCAATATCGTCGGTGGCGGTCTGCTTGGGGCGGGCATGGCATTGTCAGCCTCTTGTCCCGGAACACTGATCATCCAAGCCGGAGCAGGTGTTGGGACGAGCGTGTTCTCTTTAGGTGGCGCAATCCTCGGCGGTATTGCATGGAGTGGATTTCTGGGCAAGCTCATCAATAAGAGAGCCAAGAATGCCGATATGAAGGCGGACGCTGTTCCTGTCGGGGATCATCTCGGGCTCTCCAGAACTGCGACTTTGGTCGCCTTGGAGACAGTTTTCACCTCCATCAATGTGCTTACAACTCTTTACACGCCTGCCGCCCCGGAACCCAGGATTCTTGGGGCAATCGGCGGTCTTCTTATTGGCTCGGCACAGGCATTTTCCATCTTGACACGGCGGTCGATGGTGGGCGTCTCCTCCTTCTACGATGAAGCAGGCCAGCTCTTTTGGTGGATTCTCAGCGGTTTCAAGGCCAGTTTAAAGCCTGCCTCTTTACGGAACACTCTATTTGCCACGGGAATGTTTTCTGGGGTGTGGCTACTGGCCAGGGCAGCCCCTACATTGGTCGGAGAAGTTGTGGTTGAGACATCACCCCTCCTTGCGACATTGGGAGCATTCCTGATGATCATTGGTGCTAGGACGGCTGGAGGGTGCACATCAGGCCATGGAATCAGTGGCATCTCTCTGCTTTCTACATCGAGCATGATTACGATTGCGAGTGCATTTGGAGTCGGAGCACTTGTTGCTGCCGGTTTATCATAGACTAGCCTCAGACGATGATACATTGAGTTACACCCTAGTTACAAGACTACCCCTTTAGATAACACATAGATCTCCCAGCCTTCAGCATCAATAAAGCATCATTGCGCTTCATCTGTGCTTTGTTGTATCCTGTCATTAGGGCGAGACGGGGCAAGCGTCGGACTCGGCAATGTGACGCTGGGGAACTGTCTCTGGGCGGATATCGAAGGAAAATATATCCATCGGAAGCCCAATAGTAGTGCATGAGTTTGGAATCTACAGACACGGAATAAGTCATGAAACCTTTGAGGAGGTAAAAGGTAGCAACTCACATCAACTATGCCAGCCACATGCCCTTCGATCGGGGCCGCACTAAGAAGCAGGTAGATCTGATAGTCCGTATATCCATACCTTCGGAGGTACTCAATTACACGAAGGCAACTCTGTCGGTAGGCGATCGTGGTATCCAGATAGTGTTGTTTGCCGTGCTCATCGACCGAAAACCCCTATCCCAACCATTGTCAGCACGTCGCACGTAAGCCTTAGAAGATGCGAATGATCTCACCTCGAAGAATATCATCCTAGATGGCCCGAATTGTGGCTGCACGGGACCTGGAATGTATATTGGGGAGCGGCCGTTAACCATTCCCATCTGTGCCTGGCCCTGCTTGATCACTTTGAAGTTTAGAGTAATAGTGCCAGCCATCTCGATAGCACCGCAGAAAGAGATCTCTCCGTCACCCTCTAGATGAATTGAAAAGACATTAGAAATCTTCCCGTTCTTGGTGTGAACAAGAAGGACACTCACGGGAGAAATGAAGGTCTCCAACACTGAACTTGGCCCCCGGCACATGCACCGGCAAGTAAACCTTGCTTCCCCTAGACAAGTTCTTGATGTCGCAGTTTCCCCCATGCTCCGGCCGGCCAGGGATCGTTCGTGCCCCTTCCTTGGCCACCCTGCGGGCAATGTCTTCCTCTGCCGAACCGGCGTGGGCGTTGAGCTCAAGGGGAAGGTTGGCCACTGTGCGCGAAAGCGTATTTGCTTGGACCAGCTCTCCCTCGCGTCGATTCCACTCGGCTAGAATCTCATGAGAGGGGGCGCAGCCGAGAATACCGGGATGAATGAGGCCCGCGAATTTAACGCCTGGAATGTGTCGCGACGTGCAGGATATGCCCTCAAAATCCCAGATTGCCTTGGCCCTGATACAGGAGAATCGTCAGTTAGATTATCAGAGAATCAAATTTTGGGTCTGACATACGCATGGGGGTAGAGCTCGTCCAAGAAACCGCCTCCGTTGTCCTTGTGAAACACGCCGGTAAATCCCCATGGCTGCTCCTCGAGAGGCTGGACGTCTTCAATCTCGACGCGGAGGACGTCGCCTGGCTCCGCGCCGGTGATTTCAAAAGGCCCGGAGAGATAGTGAATACGGCTCAGGTCGACGTTCTTCACGTCGTCGGCAGAGTCATTATTGCCAATTTGACCACCAGTCCAATCAAGACATTCGATTTTGACGGTCTCTCCGTCACCGACCGTTGCGCAGCTCGGAACTGATCAAACAATTAGTATGTGATATCCAATGTACGGCATGCTTTAATCAGGCTCTCTGACTGTCTGGGTGCCACCGGTTCTGCTCGAATATCAGCTCCCTGGACTTGAAGCCGCGCTCGGTGCGGTCGGGCGTATTCCGACTTACATGGAGAGAACGCTGCTCTGAGGCAGGTTTGTCTAAATCGACTTGAAGAGCGGTTCTGAGTTTTCCGGGCATCGTGTCAATGAGGAGAGATGGTGTTGACTTCAAAGCAAGGTCGATCAAGGCTGGCCCCTTCAACGAGACTGGTCCGTACTGATAACAATGGCGTCTACCCCCGCACTCATCATATAAGTACTCCCTCGGAGGTGCGGCAACGGTGCCCGCGATAAGGAAGCCGTGACACATACATACAAAGATGGCGATTGGATGCGGAGATGTGGGTAGAAGCGGGCTATCTCGCATGCTTGTGATGTCACATCAATCCCATTGGTAATACTCCTCATCTCGTACTAGAAAGAGGGGCTACCCGTCCCGATACGACTTTGATGCAGCTGATAGACGAGTCCACGAATGAATGACTGCGTTATCTTAGTTGGGGAAAGTTTGTTTTGGTGCCGTAAAGGTAATGAAAAGTCACATGGTGACCTTTGGATCGGCTTAGCATCCGGTAGAGTAAACACTCGAGTGCTCGGGTATATACGGCTATCGTTTCTCTTTGTGCTGGCTTTCTTGGCCGCTGTTTTATTCCACGACCTCATACACAGCACCCCGATCCACTGTACAACCTTTTCCAAAGCCATGAGCGAGATAAAGAAGTTCGTGCTCGGCGACTTCGCTCTCCAGGGAGGAGGTATCCTCAAGGATGCTTGGATCGCATACAAGACATTTGGTGACCCCGCGTCTCCCGCTGTTCTCTATCCTACCTGGTACTCCGGGCTCATCTCTGACAATGAGTGGCTTGTGGGAGAAAAAATGACCCTCGATCCGGCCAAATACTTCATCATCATTCCGGCAATATTCGGTAATGGCCAGTCCATTAGCCCCTCCAATTCAGAGATCCGCCCGTTCCCAGACGTGACATTTTACGACAACGTACGGGCCCAGCACGAGCTGGTCAAGGGTCTTGGGATCAGGCATTTGCGTGCCGTTCTCGGGTGGTCCATGGGTGCGGCGCAGGCATTCCAATGGGCTACGCAGTTTCCCGATATGATGGATATCTGCGTCCCATTCTGTGGCTCAGCAAGGACCTCGCTCCACAATCAAGTATTCCTCGAAGGCGTGAAGTCGGCACTACTGGCCGCCAAAGGCCTTTCATCCGCTGGTAGTACCCGCGGCGCGACAACCAAGGACGTGTCGCCTTGGACGGATGAACAGAAACAGGTGGGACTGCGAGCCTTCGGGAGAGGATATGCGGGGTGGGGGTTTTCGCAAGCCTTCTACAGGGAGGAGCTGCATAAGAAGGTGTATGGAGAGAAGAGCTTGGAGGACTTTATGGTGAATTTCTGGGAGAAATGGGCACTGAGTAAAGACCCGGAGAATCTACTTGTGATGCTGCATACATGGCAGGCTGGTGATATCAGCAAGCAGGAACCTTTCAACGGCGATTTTGAAAAATCGCTGGGCAGCATTAAGGCTCAGACTTTGGTCCTCCCATCGAAAACTGATCTGTACTTCCCGTGAGTTTAAAATACCGCATGAGGAGTATCGCTTGCCCGTCCGTACTGACACATCATCATAGACCTGAAGACTCCGAATATGAAGTCTCATGCATGAGCCAAGTCGGGAAGCTGGATATGTTTCCCTCTATATGGGGCCACTGGGCAGGCGGACCGCCCGGAAATATGGAAGATGTCCGATGGCTAGATGAACGATTGTCTGACTTGTTTAGCAAAGCCCCCAAGCGAGATTTGGCTTCCAAGACTCAGGCCTCGTCTCAAGCTGTGGGAGGGCTCGAGGAGAAGGTGCTTGTGATAAGAGACTAGCCCAAGAGTGGCGACACAGAAGAGGGCCAAAGGTAGCTCACAATGTGGTAGTCATTCTGCCTTCTTCAATGAAAACAGTAACCAAAGTCCAGTGAGATGTTCCTCATGCAAGCCATTACTCGGGCATATGATACGTATGTTTAATCTAGTCGAATGATTGGGCTAGAGTAATTGGATCGCGGGAGGTAAACAATGATATTAAAGATGCCCCAGAAGTTGGACAGATCATCGGCTCACCCGGCCTGTTTCAAACAGAGTGCAATGCAGAGAGAATAGTGGCTAGAAGCTGACAGTTGCGACAAGCCCCCCTACCGTACCGCGCGCTGAATTCCATACAGTTCCACTGATCACTAGGCACCCATGAACTGTCAGCTAAGATTGTTTAAGTAAAAAGTGCCCCTTTCAGTGAAAGCGTGCCATTAAAACACCAGCCGCCCTCCTGAAGTAGTGGGAAATCTTCTCTCCGCAACCACTTCTCTCGTCCTCACTCGGCGCGCTTGGCCTCAAATTACCCAGAACTTGGATCGAAGAAAGCCCGAGAGTGAATATCTTACTTCTGAAGCAGTGATACAAGTTTTGAGTATTCGAGCAAGACCTTAGCACAACAAGCTGCAAGTAGTCCTCAATCGCTCAGTTCTGAACGTTGGGTCCTAGTTCTAACTGCGATCAGGTCGAAAGCCGAAATTGAATTGGGCCAAACATGGAGTCCGAGATCCTCCAAGCCCTCACTGAATACAAAGATTGTGTTACGAAACATAATCTCTCAGCCGTGAAAAGGCTGGTCGAGTATGCCGCGACAGAAGAGTATTTGCCAGAGTATCTCGAAGAATATCCTGAAGATGAACGCGCAGAACACATGGAAGAAACAGATGAAGAAATTGCGCAATTGCGTCTTGATTGGATACTCCAGAAACTGGGACAGGGAGGGAGCGAGCTGATTACTCGACCTGAGGATGTTCTCACCCACTGGGACGTATATTCGCAGCGGAGCGGACTTAATGGGGCTGCGTTCGATGACCGAGACTTGGAGAAGAGGTCAGAGCTAATGAACGACTATATTGGTGGGCTTCGCGACGGTTTGCAGGCCCTGGGTGGCGAGGCTCCCGCTTTGGACCTCCCTCAGGACTCTCTTGTTCTTCTTGCCCACGTTGATACTCTCGAGGGGCATAAGTGGTACGAGGAGAAAGATCAAGGCCGGCAAACTGTGTTCTTTAATGGCTTCCTTGACTACGATCAAGCTAAGAAAGCTGTGCTTTCCGACGACGGGCTGAAGGAGGACAATGCCTATCTAGGCGGCCGATACCCCGACTATGAGCATGTGGTAGCTGGTTGGAAATGCGGATCTGCACCTGAAGGTGGCTGTTACATTATCTATGGCCGCCAAAAACTCGAAGATGAGGCCAGTTGGTTCTATCACGTCAACAAGGGACAGTTTGGGACAGAAATGTTCAAGAGTGTTGTCGACTTGCTCAAATGGTATCAACAATACAACATCCCTGATGAAGGAGCCGTGGAGTACGCTTGTTCTATGTTATGGTGGTAGCCATCGCAACTATTATGTGAAGAGTAGGAGGAATCATTATGTGGATATCATATAACATTGCTGGACTCTGGGACAATGAATGGAGGAGTGATGAAGAAGAAGCTCAATATAACTGGAATAACCAGCAGAATTATAAAATCTTGAACTGTAGAACAGGCTGTGCAATTTGCAAAGGCTTGCCCACAAATCTTCTCTGGTATTGCATGACCGTCTATTGATTGATGCCATGGCTGTGAAGTATAGGACAAGACTAGGCCCCAGATGGTTATAATTGGCGAACATAAAGTCAACATCGCTAGTTATCGAAACATAATCTCCCCTTGCACCAGCTTCTCAATGTAGGATGGCCGGGACCGCCTGTATCCCCCATCCTGTGAGAACCACCCCATGAATAATTTTCTATTGGCTCCGCGTCGTACGCCAATCTCCAGCATGTGTGATGTCTCACCTACCCAATGCGTGCCTCTAACGAGCTACGACGTATAACAACGTAGGATTCGCCGAGCTCGAGGAAACCTGAGGATAGAAAAGGATATCATCAGGAGCTTTCGAGGTAACGAGGGGATAATCGAGCTCGAGGATAGTTTGTGTTGACTTCCGATATCCAGGCCAGAGGTTGATACTTCTGCTTAATGCAGGGGGCCGTTTGTGTAGCCACGAGAAACGGATGGGGACGTGGATGTATGTCCTCGCTGTTCCCCGAGTGTGTGGGAAAAAACCGAGTCCCCTCTTATGGTCTCAGGTCATCGCGCTTCTCAATTTCTGCCTTTGTCTTCGAAACAATTGCGCTCCAAACAGAGGGCTTCATCGCCCCCTTATTGAGTAACAACAAACTATCGTCAACAAGATCTTTTCCAGCCAAGAGCAATTGATCGCGCCAGACCACCTGGGAGTGGTTAGGACGAAGACTCGCCTTTTTTCATTATTCAATTGAAACTCACGGTCGCCATCAGTCACCGCTCACTCCCATCCGATTCCATTGGTCAAGCACCACAATCATCGAATCGTTACAAGCCTCGCACTCCGGCTAAGAGGTGAAAATGACGGGAAACTCTGTGATTGCAATCATTGTGGTGCTTCTCTTTGTTGCGATCGTAGCTCTCCTCCTCGTCATATTCCGTTATTTTAACGACGAGCTCGGCTTTCTGCTATCCGGCTCTCGCTCTCGCTCTCGCACCTCTACAAGCTCAAGCTCAAGTTCCAGCTCGTCTGCTTCGACCACGACAACTGTCATATTGCCCAATCTGCCAAGGGACGGTGTGTATGTTACACCAGGAGCAGTGCCCCCTGTTCATGTTCGAGAGTCCATGACTGCAAGAGTCACCACTGTCGTTGAATGATGAGGCGGAACACGAAGCAGCATTAGGAGGTAGTCTTGAACGTGAAGGCAAGGTTATTGATCACAAAAGTCACTCTTTGAGATGGAATCTATGTGTGGATTAGAGCTGGAGGCATTGCCTAGCATTGATACCGATTGGCGGCAGAGGTTGATGTTCACGTCTTTCATTTTGCTAGTTACACTTTGGATCTATGAAGCATCATGGGAAGCGAAAATTTTGGGATAATATCGGGAAGGGAATATTTCCTTCTTTTTTTTAGATAGTAATAGAATGTCTCAAGGCCGACGGCATCACATCCAGACGGAATGTAGCAATAAGCCAAATGACAAAGGCCTAGTATGGACTCTGAACAATATAATTTTTGGCTTCTCTAGTAATTGTTGATGTGAATAGTTTTCTTCCTCTCAGATTGTCGAAGGCTTTTCCTCCTGTCCTCAGCTCTTTTGATTGCCCTCGCCAGTTTCCTGGACTGCTTTTCCTCTTCCTCCTTCAGTTGCTCCAGCCGACTATCCCGTTCCTCCAGGTCCAAATCATGCTTCCGACGTTCGAGTTCTTCATCAAATCTGCGTTGTTGCCGCTTGCGCTGCTTTTCCTTGTCCATCGCCTCCTGCTGCGCATGCGTGCGGTTATTTTTCAGCTTTTGCTTCTGATCCAGCGCCTTCTTCTCCTGAACGACGCGTAGTCTAGTCTGGTTGCTGGTACGTAGACCATAGAATCGAATGGTTGTCGTCTCCCCCGACGGCAGCGTGATGCGGCGCACGCAGTTATGCTCATCCAGCTGTCTCGGGAGCTTGAACGTGGTTCTGTACTCTTCTAGGCCATCTATCGTCGCTCCGAGTAGCTTCGTCTTGACGGCTGTATCGACATGCACGCGGAAATTGTGCTGTAGCTCCCGGAAAAGGTCCTTTGCGGCCTGATATGTCCACGATCCATCTCTAACGAGAGGAACTCGCCTGGAGCAGCGCACGTAGAAGGTCCGTTCCTCTGGCTGCTTGTACCATGGCGACGGGTATCCCCAGGAATGAGCCTTGTTGCTGTATGGGAGTAAATGGCTGATCACCAATGACTGCAGGTTGGGTAGAGCTTTGGCGAGCTGATTACTGCGGTGGACGTTGAAGCGCGCAGGATTGATGTACCAGGCGGGCAGTTCGAGGTGGCGGAGACGAATGCATTTCCTGATGGCCTGCCAAAACGGCTCGATGTGCTTCCTTCGGCGGCCGTATAGTCTGACGTGGCGCGGCATTCCCCTCGCATCGGGACTCATGAAGCTGAGGGATTGGATGCGCTGCTGGTGCTGGGGCCGGAGTCTATGGCCGGCGGTGGCGAGGAACTCCATCGAGTCGAGGAAGCAGAAGGTGTTGAGGGACCAGAAGATGGGCGAGGCAGCCTGGTTGATCTCCCTGGACGCGAGGAGGAGGGAGAGGCCCTTGCGCTTGGCACAGTCGCACCGTGTCGTCGTCGTGATGTGAAGGTTGGGAGGGAGCGGCGTGATCTTGACCATGCTCTGGAGGAAGGGCGGGTGCTCGGTGTCGTCCGAGTCCAGGCGCGGGCGGCACCGGCACTTGAGATGGTGTTTCTTGTCCCATCGGGGGATTTCGACGAGGACAAACTCGTAGATGCGGAGTCTCACCTCGGGCGGCAGATGCATGAAGGTGAGTTTCTTGGGCCGCGGGATGTGCCACGGGTTGGGGTTGATGTGGAGGATCTCGGGACTCGCGGTTATCATCGTGCCGGTGTTCTCTCAAGACGAGGAAAGCTGGTGATGGAATAAAGAGAGATGACAATTGATGCGCGGAGAGGTGAGCGGCGGGTGAGATGTCGATGGATCACTGCCTGCAGGGATTGTGCAGTCAACGATGAGGTGAGGTACAAGTGTTGATGCCTTATTTTATTCTTGCCTTATTGCGTTTTGGATCAAATGTCTCCGGCATCAGAAGCCACGTGAGCAGCAGTGTTTGGCTGCCTCGCTGCAGGTCGCACCACAAGACCAACCAACCGAATGCCGAGTTGGCCTGCACGATGATGACATGGGAGACGCAATTGACAAATGGCCCGAATTGAATATTTGGGTTATTTAATTGCAGGCCCCTCTGAGTCAGACGCCTATTCGTGACAGTATGTGTTGAAAATTCACACTATACAGATGTCAGGCAACAGATGCGCAAGGTAGGCAGAAATGCTTTCCTGTCCAGGCCCGAGTTTAGGTTTCTAGAGATTGTTTCGGGTCAGCTTCCGCCCACGTCCTCACTGCCATAAGAAGAATAACCTTGCCTCTCAGGAGCCCATATTATACCCGATGATGCAATGTCCGCTCAGGCTATAAACAATTAGTGGCGTTAAAATGTAGACATGTTGAATAGTTGTGGTTTCATTAAACAATAACATGTCCATACGAGTATCTGTTCCAAGGTCGCTCACATTCTGGTCAAGAGTGTTAAGAACGAGCTGAAAGTTAGCTAAGGATACTTCAACCCCGCCTGATTCTTTGGCTACGAACGAGCCGAGGCTTACTTGACGAATGTCACAGGTGTCACTGGTGTAAATAAAGAAACAGAGTTCAAGCAGAGCTCTTTAATCCTGTTGCTGCACTCCATCGGCTCAGCACGGAGCAGACTGTCCCGGCAGTCAATAACACTACAATGAGTCTGGCTAATTATACCTAAACTGAGAACATGAACTGCGTTTAGAGGGTGTACAAAAGTATCGAGGCTAAAATTATTGGCTTAGCAAGTCGAAAGGATTTGCAGGATTCTTTGTTTCGAAATCCAAATCTGAATCTTGCTTTGTAACACCGGTAAAATAGCACTTGAGCAGAGATTGTCTTTGGTGGTAATAAAAAGGTGGAATTCAAAGAACTGTGCACGGATGGAAATCATGAGTATACGTTCGTAAAGCTCGTAATTAGAATATTGATCATTGTGTTGAGATGTCGGGCCTGGCATCTTTCGTTGCTATTTTTAACTTTTTACTCGAACTCTCTTCCGTATCATTGAACAAGGTGAAATTCACATATTGTTGGTGCAATCATTTACAGGATATGGCAGTATTTTATAGAGTAAGGGGCTATTTCCATGCATAAAGACGTTCAAGCAGAGTCTGATCTGAAAAGGTTGCATAGGGAAGCGCACGTAACAAAGGTAGCTGCACCGCCATTGTTATGATATACGAGCAGGCAGTTCTCCAACAAAAGCCCTTTCATTTACTTTTCTATTTTAACTACTGGTCAATCTTGGCTTCATCCTATTTAAGCGTGGCGTTGCCTCTCGCGAAATCTTACCTCCAACAAAAGCGCACCTTCCATAAAACTTCACTCTCATTACACTATTTTGACCCGTCAGATACGGCCGACACTTGAACAAGACAGGCCCAAGCATAGCAATGGATGACCGAGTCCAACTATCCTTCCCACCTGGAGGGCAAAACTCTTACTCTTTTCACAACGATCGACCACTCTACAGGTTCCACCTCCCCGCTGAGTTATGGGAAAAGATTGCCAATATTCTCTCGGAAACCGAGGTTGCGTCCACGGCAAATGTCTTTCTAAACTTGATGCGTAGTTGCAGAGAACTAAACCAAATCTTCACACGACACCTCTACAAGTTCAATCAGCGGATGATGGAGAATTTGAATTTGGAGCAATAGCATGCCTGGAAAGCCAAACACAGTGCTATGGAATGGGCAACCCAGTACGGCTTACAAGGGACGGCTCAGGCGGTAATGGATGTTACCCCGGATCTTTGCCAAGTTCGCCATGCTGGAGACGCGATTCGACATCGACACTATGAACTTGCCGAGAAACTCTTACAATGGGAGAAGATTAATACCGAGGTCAGGTCCGGTGTATCACAACACAGCCCTATCTTTGCTGCCGTCGCTATGAATCATGCCTCACTCATCGAAAGAATTACGGAGCTTCAAGGTATGAAGCCGGAAGTATCTGACTATGATGGGAAGACGGTACTTCACCACGCTTGTGAGAATGGGCATTTGGAACTTGTATACCGGTTTCTGAAGGGGGGCGCCGACCCCATGTTGAAAAGCGACATAGGTCGCAACAACCTTACAGCCTTAGACATGGCCATTTCTCACGACTCCGCATCGGCTCGCGTCGCCATGGTTAAGGCGATTCTCTCGCGGAAGCCCGCCTTGACGGAGCCTCATGCTTACATGCGCAGAATCGCAAAGTATGACCGTCTGGACGTGTTAAATATCTTCATTGAACAGGGGAGGTTTGTTGAGCGGTCATCTGAGAATTGGCGAATGACACTTCGCACCATGTTATCTTCAATGGCCATCGATACCTTTCCGAAAATTCTCGAACTTTGCCCCGAGGAGCATTTTACAGATGATCTGATTGCAAATCTGCTGAAAAATGCCTGCTATCCTAACAGGGAGAAGAATACAAGGAAGACAAGATGCATCAAACTGAAAATCTCGAAGCTGTTAATGGAGCATGTTCGCACACTTCGGGACGGAGACCTATCTTCTTTGATATACGAGACACTCAAAGAGTCTATCATCAAATCTATCAAAGATGATAACGTTCCCATGGCGAACTACATTCTCAGCTTTACCGGGCTTCTCGAAACTGAACAACTTCCTTCGGACTATTTTCTTCAGGCAACTCATTATTACAACCCTCAAAGCTCCGAGATGCTGTCTGTCATGATCAAACACGGTTTCGATGTCAACCAGGCCACTGGAAGAAGCACACATTTCATGCATGCTCTTACATGTCTTAAAGAGACAGGAGTTACGGTTGGGGTTGTCAAGGCTATGATTCCTATGATTAAGGATATCGATCAGCGAAACCCGGACGGCGACGAAACCGCTTTGATGCATTGGCTTTGTCCATCCTATTATACCGAACAGATAGGAGAGGCCCTTACCCTGGAAATAACCAAATTGTTGCTCGATAATGGCGCAAGCCTCTCTTCTCGAAACGAGCACAAGTTGACGCCACTTCACATGGCAACTATGTACTGCTACCCTTCGGTAGTAAAGCTCTTGGTCGACCGTGGAGCGGAAGTGAGTGCAAAGGATGACTGGGGTCAAACAGCTCTCCACCGGGCTACGAGGTCTATATGTAGGGATCCAGGAGTTGGCTTTTACGATTACCCAAAGCAGCTCTCAAATGCTGTAGATAAAATCGAGATACTTCTAAATGCCGAAGCAGACCCCAGGGCCAAGTCCACTGACGGTACAGTTGCTCTTAGCCCACTGGATTACGCATGGCACCGCCATGCTTCGCTTAGAAGGATGGTGGAGGTGTACACTGCCTCTGCTGAGAAGGGTGGCTACCCAGTAGACATCCTCAATTTCCTACGTCAAGCTCGACATCTATTGACGTCATGTGCTTATGAAATGTGCGACAAACGCCCTCAAGGTGACGAAGTGAAGATCGAAGAATTGAAGATGTCTTTTGAACTTCTTCTGGGATATGGATTTGATATCAATGAGCATGACGCAAGAGGCAAAAGCTATCTGGATATTAGCCTCATAAATGCTTCCAGTCGCCAATACCATGATGAAGATGCACCGTCAACGGAAGAAGAATCTTGGTTGCTCATGTATTTTTTGAGCAAAGGTGCGGATATCAACGCTATGAACGATAGTGGCAAAACCATTCTTGATCGTACTCAGAGAGTTAGATTGAGAAATCTATTGACCAAACATGGGGCACTACCCGGGTCTCAGGTAAGAAATTAAACCTCAGTCGAATACAATTCGTCAGCAGCATCCTGGACTGTGGAATGGCGGGGTTTTGGCCGGAGTGGCGGGTTTTCCAAAAATTGTATATGGTTGATGCTATTACCTCCTGAGGTACCTATATTGAGACCACGATGGAAATTATGATAAAGCACCTTAAAGAGAGACACAGGCGAATACAAAGATTAATTATTTCCCATCTTTTTCAGTTCACAATGTGTGATATCAACCAATAATAATTAGACACACGAGATAAGCGGTCATACCAAAACGAGTGGCTCTTACCATTCCAAATGTATCTTAAGCTCATTGAATACAAGCCAAGTTATAATCCCTAACGTAAATAAGTCGAGCACTCGAACCTGACGATGTGCACATCCAATCCCTTTTCGTGACAGGCTCCCACCATCACGGGTCCCCATCCTACTACATACTAGTCACCCTTCAGTCCAGGTATAATGTCGCATAACGACAACGGTGAACAATCCATTGCCGCTACATTAGCCCAGGTGGTCCATTGCCTCAAAAACCGAGCCTATCAATATTCCCCAAACGCTGTCCTGTTCAGACTTATGGTCGACAATATCACTAGTTATGAAATCAGCTGAAAGAGCAAAACAACAGACTAACGCAGGCAGGGGGCACGAACAATCCTTGGTTCTCTGGCTTCTTAGCTAAGTCATTATCCAGATAGTCCAGTCGTCCAATTCCAGCGGGATCAGAACCAAATCGTAAGAACTGGACAGCTATGCCTGACCTCTGAACACCTTGACTTTTCATTTGCTGAATCAGGTGCTCAATCGGGCGCTCTGCTCCGCATAGCCCTCCATCTGAAGGAACCCAAACACCGTCCGTGAATATCAAGACACTGAGGCGTTTTGCTGAGGAATTATAGCGGATGCGACTAAGGCCCGATCTAATTCCCCAAGAACTCCCGCTGACCATCAACCCGGACCGGAAGTTGGTTGGTAAAGCCTCCATTAGAGCTCCCTCAATATTACAGTCGACCTGGCTTCTTTCCGCGAAAGCTCTTCTAGCAGAATCTCCAGCTTGGGTACTATTGGAGAAGCTGTCCTTTGTCTGGGGACTAGATGTCCACCTAATCTCACCGCCATCTGGATCAAGTTGCTTCACAAGGTAAGCGAGGTTATCGACGGCTTCGATGACAGCTGCTTGATGCTCAAACATCGACCTAGAATTATCGATGATGAAAAGCTAGTTAATAACAGTTGTCAGTCCAAGCAGTTGCGCAACATTATGTATAAATAGTAAAGAAGAATGAAAAAAATAAAGCGAGATGGTCGAACAGGACGTACGAAATCGCGACCTCTCAGTAAGTTCTGTGCTTCTTTCCAACCTGGTAGCTCTGGTCGATGCTTCTTCTTATTGCCTCTCCACAGGGCCAGTTCCCTCAAAGTGACTTTTGGATAAGGGCTAGTCGTATTGCTTCTCATTAGTCCAACGGTAGGATCTGTTAGGGTGCGCTGAATCACGGTGTTGTCTGTTGGCCCATGCTGATAGTGAACGGGTGGTGACATTGGAATGACAGGAGATCCCATCATCTCTGATAGGTTATGTTGAGGCGAAGTTTGAATTGATAGAACTGGCTGGACCATTGATGTCCTCATGATGGTAGGAGGTATAGAGCCAATGGAGCTAGGCGAAGGGGGATGCTGCTCGATCCGGCTGTGATATGCTTGAGATACGACCTTCGTTGAGGATATAATATCTCTCATGTTAGCCTCTAAGCTTCGAGGAGAACATCTAAAACTTTCCGGTCGCAGCAGACTGTTCAAAATAAAATCTGCCATCCTCGGCGTGATGTTGTCGTTGCGTCGCGCATTTTCTTGAACAATCCGAGCCCACTCTTTAACAGATGACAAAAGATCATATCCTTGATGAAAGCAGTCACAAAACCCAATTTCATGAAAGTCAGGTATCTTGGAAGCCTCTTCCACACGGGCCACTTTAAAACTTTCAAGAGCTTTAAACCCTCCTGTGATCCACACAGCCACTTCCATCAAGATACATCCAAAAGACCATACATCAACTGATTGATTTGTTCTATGTCTGCCATCGTTAATCGAATAGACATCAGGGGGACCTTGTTAGCACCAAAGTTAGCAAATTGAATAGTCGTAGTCTTAGCAATAGCAAAGGGCATTGTCAACACACCATACGTCCGAGTGCTTCTCAGACGGTGAGGGGCGCTCCCATCTGGAGACTCGTTGATCGAGCCAATTCGACTACTATCAAAGTCCGTAATTGTGAGCATAAAAGAGTGCTTGCTATCTGCGGGATTCCTCCCTTGAAAGAGAAGAATGTTTGAAGGTTTGAGATCGCCGTGGAGCCTAGTGAACAATCATGATTAATGGTGAGCTTACAGGTAATTGTCGCATGCATACCCGTTGTTAGATTGTTCCTGCATATTTCCGATGCCTTTCGCGAGCCCCAGAAAGCTTGTCCAAAAGGCTTCAATATCATCGGCTTGATAAGGAAAATCATTACTCAAAAAGTGATTTAGAAGAGACCCCATCGCGAACTCAACGAGCACTCATGCGGTACCCAGCTTCGTTTTAGTGATATAAAGTTTTGATTGGATAACGTTTGCCTTCCTATTGATGATAGACTTCGTTCAGTCTCGTATTCTTCGTAGCGACCTGAGGACAATATTTTAAGAAACACCCTCTCTAAGATCTACAACTCATACCAATTACTTCTCCAACATGGAATGTGCCTAGAAATGAGAGATCGGGCAATATGAATTAGACGTACCCGAAATTTGCCAGAAAGGTGGCTGTGTGAAGTCTGTCTCCCCAAAAGTGACGTCCGCGTGGGTTGCTGCGGTTGGGGCTGAGCCTCTCAATGAAGAGGGGTCCCTCTGGGCACATGTGCCGCCTTGAACATCTGCCAAAGATGAAGCAGTCCAGCGTAAAATACCCACTAATTGCGCTAGAAATCACGCTGCAATCTGGTGTCGGTAATCATACCGTTGATAGGCTATGTTTCGGTCCAAGGCATGACCCAAGGCAGACTCCAGCCCCCGAGATATGGCAAGTTTTCAGCCTGATGCGCACAGTGTGTACGAATCAAGAGGCTGCCAGTGGGGCTTTTCTTCGGGATGCAGATGTAAATACGGGTGATTGACCTGTCAGGCGTAAATGCAGGAGCCCCAGCAGCCGGGAACATGAGCCGCCGTACGCAAGCAGGAGTACAATAGGAAAGAGGAGCATGGATAAGAGTCTAAGCCGCCTTGTCCTCCACCTACATGATGGCACGGAAGAGTATAATTACAGCGAATTCAACAGGTAGCCAGTCTACTGGACTGATTATCGTTGTGGCAACATTTTATAAGCAGCTGCCATACGCTGAATGACTGGTTAAAAGCCACTGCTCCAATGCAGTGCTCACTCTGACAGCCACGTGGCCTGCGCTGAGCATGTGCAACATCCCCAAACTAATGACAGATTTTGAAGACACAGCCTCTTCACATCTAAGTAACGGTAGACCGAACCTGAGTCAAGGTTGAGGTTGAGCATGGCTCCTCATGGCTCCCATCGCCGTATCACCTCAACTTCCACTTCAGATAATGCCCACTTTCTCCTACCAAAATCTGAATGTTAAAATAAACTGATCTTAGAATGCACATTCATGGTATAGTACAATATTTTGTCAACTGATTTTATAATCAGTATCACGGAAACGAAGTGTCTCGCCTTCAAACCTTGGAAAATAAGCCTAAGGAGTTCAGGGAATATAGTGGCCTCCAACACACCATCCTACTTCAACTCTAACAGTGAAGTAGGGGTATATTCGTGGTAAGTCGCTTTGAACCCAAATAGCCGCCCAGCTAGTGCGATGCCGCCTCTGACAACGTATGTCGTCGTTCGTCGAATACTGCTCTGCACTGTCCTGCCAAAGAGGGCGGGCCCCTTGATGAAGACGGGATAGTTATCATGTCCTTGCATGACCACAAAAAGAGACAGCAACAGCTTGATTTTGCCCAATATCCCCGTCTCTCTGTCGATAATCACACCAAGCATATTTCGAAAGAACACCTCTTTAGCACCGTCTGAGGGTTCGGTCCATTCCATGATTCGGAGATCCACCTCACGAGAATCAGCGCCTTCCACAACGCGATCCGCACGTCCAAACTCGTGGAGTGTGAACCGGGGCACAGTGATGACACCGTCATTCGGCCCAAATACTGCTGTGCTGTCACCTACTGTGACCAGTGCCTGGCCCTGTAGCACCTGCAAATATTCTATTTTCCAGCTCAACTGTTAATCAGAACGAGTCATGTCTAAGACCCTCATAGTTGGGCGGCTGAGACACGTACCCGTCTTTTCTTCATGCCAGTGCAGGCCCGTAGTTTGTTTTGTTCCCCTTCTCATCACGAACGTCACCGATCGTCTCTCGTCCTTGTCGAATGGTATTTCCACGCCCCCTTCATCAATCATGAGGTGTTCTTTATCCCGTAACAACGTGCGAGGCATGTTGCGCAATTAATAAAGCGGCTACGCCTAAGAGTGACAATACAAATTTTAAAGTCAAGCGCTGCCAGCCATGTTGCTTTTTATCCCCATCTAATAAGGCGCGAGTAAGCATTCCTGCCGGCCACTTTAACTGTGGCACCGATCGCGTCCTGCTGAGAAGGGGATAGACGCTCGGCTTCGGTGGATTACGAACCGCCGGGCTATTGAGAAGAAGTGTCCGATTGGCTCAGACGCGCCTTCTTCGCACATTTATGAGACTGATGCAACAATGGGCGACTTAACTGATTACTTCTACTGACACATTTCGTGGATTTTACTTCAAATGCCCTCTTCTGCCCCTGTTAATGAGGCTGGAGTACTTCATGGCTGAATCATGAGGCATATGCCTCCTCTGATACTTAGCTACCCTATACACCCCAGTAGTAGAGAAGGGGATTTGCTATGGCGAGCGTCGTAAGAGTTTCACAGAGGGAAGACTAGATCGAATAAATGTGAGTATTAGGTAGGGTGGGCGAATGTAGCATTGATAAGAGAACGCTTTTTTGGATGAAGCGAAAAAGGAAGAATATTAAAACCACCTGCCTACTGTTACGTGGAATTACTATATCGCTCAACTGGCTCATACAAGCCATCCTAGTTATTATCGTAGATCTACAACGTTTGGCATTTGTTTTGATTGGGTGTTGAGCCAGTCAGAGCGCTCATATGAAGAGTAATCACATTTAGAGCGGGTGATGGGCAGCCTAAGGTAACATGGTAGCGCATCTATAATTCTATCACTCGAGCTCTAGAAAGCAGCTTGATTTTACTTGGACTCATGTTTAAACATAAAGACAGTCATATTGTTTATTTTCTAGGAGTTTATTCTAGGCTTTCATATTTCTTATTTGCCCACCTCCTTTGTGTGGGGGCTTTTCCAGATGGTATATGCCAGATTGACTACATGTACCGTTGGCGTTATCATTGATCAATGGTGGCCGTTGGTGAGGCCTTGCTCGTCAAATCGATATTTATCTTCGAGATCCTTTGAAAATATTAGTTTCGATAATATAGGAATATGCTGACACAGGGAAAGGGGAGCTTACCCAGTATTTGTTGAAACCAACACCTTCACAGACCTCGCTGTAGGAGAGAATCATAGGTGGCGCGCCGACGGTCATGCTCTTCTTCAAATCTTCGAGGGTCTCTCGAATACTTCTGAGCTTAGCGGCTACCAAGGTCCAGGGGTAAGCGACGGCACAGAAGCCTAGCTCAGCAAGGTCCTTGGCAGAGAGGTTCTCTGTCTGGCCACCCTCAATGACTGCCAAAAGAGTTAGCATTCAATGTATTCTCGTGGTGGAAAGAGGAGAAATTCTCGAGAAAGACTCGCGCAATTCGGAGCAGTCTCGAAAAACATCCCACGGGGTCTACTTACTGTTGGCAAAGGTAGGAATGCCAATCTCCTCTACGCATTTGCGCATGGACTCGCGGTCGGGAAGGGCCTCCACAAACACTGCATCGACACCCAGCCTCTTGAACTCCTTAGCCCGCGCCATGGCCTCTTCCCATCCGTGTATTAAAGAGTCGGTTCGTGCGAGGACAAAGATGTCCTTGCCCTCGTCGCGAGCATCGCAAGCGGCCTTGATACGAGCGAACGCTTCGCCTCGGGAAACGACGGACTTGCCCTTGGTGTGACCGCATCCTGGAGAGCTTGTTAGAGGCAAAGGAAGGTTTCTCCTGGGGCCAATTCATGTGTTTGACTTACTCTTGGGCCATGTCTGGTCCTCAATCATGATTCCGGCGGCGCCAGCGTGAGCGTAACTCTCGACCGTGCGACGAACGTTCAACGGACTACCGTAGCCAGTGTCGCCATCGGCCATGACCGGGACATTGACCTGGCGAACAGCCTCTTGGATCTTATCGCACATCTCGGCCATGGCAATGTAGCCAGTGTCGGGAAGACCGTAAGCGCTGGCAACTGGGTAACCAGCCAAGAAGATCATGGGGAAGCCAGCTTCCTCGACGAGACGAGAGGATAGACCATCATAAGAGCAGCAGTGCGCCAGGATCTTGCTGGGGTCATTGTGAGCTTCCAGCATCATGGACCTCAGGCGGCTGGCTTGAACAGAAGGGATCTTGCCCCGAACGTTCTTGAGTGTAGTAGCAACATCCTGGGTTTGGCCCAGCTTGCCTCCCTTCTCAACCACAGGCGGGTTGAACTGGAAAGGGTAGGGCGTAGTGTTGACAATGGACTTGGACATGATGACTGAGGAGTCGTGGTGGTAAAGTAGCAAGTAGGTAATGTGATTGTGACTGGACTTTAAGAGTAAATAGGCAGTAATGCTTTGTGAGGTGAGTGAGCCATGAATGTACAAAAAGGCACAAATGATTGACTCTTTATAATGGAAAGCTCCTGATGAATGGGCAAGTCGACCGGCCGGAAAGCTCAGGCAATTGACCGGAAACCTACGGCAACTGACGGACGCTTGGTCATGTTCGGCACCGGAGAATGTTGATCAGTGGGCCGCCCCTTTCGCTTCCCCAGATTTCCCCAGACTCCCCCCATGAGATGCACACGCAAGATCCCGCCTCATTCCGCCTCCGCGGCCGAGCTCCCAGAGAATACCTGCGGAATTCATCCTGGCCATCACCCCTAGGCCTCAGTTGATACCGGGATAGTGCCGGACCGAACGTATCAGGGGGAAATTGTCTGCCGCGCTTGGCAAAAGGTTAAAAGGCGGCTGGTCATCTGTCCAAGGAGAGCGAGACAATTTGCCAACAACGCAACCCTCTGCTTCTCAACGCGCTTGCTCATAACAAGGCATTAATTCGAAGTCCCAAAGACCTCATTTGTCTCATCGCATAGGTGATATCAGCAAAAATGCCTGATATTGATCACAAGATGGAGATAAAGAGCGAAGAGGTCGAGGAGGCTATTGGCTTGGGTACAGTTACTCATGCTCCAAGCGGAGCCATGAGCAATCGGATCAAAAGAACAGTGAGTACCGAGATACGAAACTTGATATTTGGAGAAGTCAACTGATCCTTGTGGTACTACAGTTTGATCGTCGTCTGCTGCCGATTGTCTGCTGTCTTTACGTGCTCTCGTATCTTGACCGAGGCAATATTGGCAACGCTAAGACAGCTGGGGTTGACGTCGATCTTCATCTCAATGACTCCCAGTGGGCATGGGTTCTCAATGCATTCTACATATGCTATGTTTGTTTTGAATGGACGACAGTCCTCTGGAAAATCTTTCCTGCTCACATCTACATCGCCTGTCTTTGCGTTCTGTAAGGGAAACCCGCTCATTTTCCAATGGAAATCTGCTGACAAGATATCTTCAGATGGGGAGCAGCAGCAGCCTGCTCTGGAGCAGTGACAAACATGGCTGAATTGGTCGTCTGTCGATGTCTACTGGGCATTTTCGAAGCTGCATTTGGTGCTGGTGCACCCTACTTCCTTTCGCTGTTCTACAAACGCAAAGAGCTTGGCTTCAGAGTCTCGATACTTCTTGGAATGTCACCATTAGCTAACTGCTTCGCTTCTGCCCTTGCGTATGGCCTTACTCAAATTCGAGGGAGCCTAAGACCTTGGCAGTATCTCTTCATCATAGGTAAAAGCCCTCAGTGTCTTAATTGTGCCATAAGCTCTCTAACATGCTGACGAAACAAATGTAGAGGGTGTACCCACTGTTGCGTTCTCTCTTGTTGTGTTCTTCTTCCTCGCAGATTCCCCTGGGTCTGCCAAATATCTCACAGAGGATGAACAGAGGTATGCCGTTGAGCGACTACAGGTTGTTGACCGCACCAAGAAGTCGGGCATGAAGTGGTCCCAGGTTTTCGCCGGGATAACAGACTACCAGAACTACATGCACACACTCATACATTTCTGCTGCAATTACTCCTTTGCCGGCCTCTCAAATTTCCTCCCCACAATTGTCAAAGACATGGGATATTCCTCTATTCATGCCCAAGGGCTGACTGCTCCCGTCTACTTTGGAGCCTTCTTGTTGTGCGTGGTAGTGGCCATCGCCTCTGACAAGTATGGCAAACGTGGGTACATTGTCAGCAGTTTTGCCTGTATTGGAACTGTTGGTTACGCCCTTCTCATCGTTGGCAGGGAGACACCCATCCGGTACGCAGGAGTCTGGCTCGCTGCTTGCGGTGTCTACCCAGCGCTCTGTATCAACATTACTTGGTTGCTGAACAACCAGGGAGGTGACTCTAAGAGAGGCGCAGGCCTGGCCATCTTGGCTACCTTTGGACAGTGCAGTTCGTTCATGAGCAGTGTGGTCTTCCCACAAAAGGATAGGTGAGTTATGGTCGCAACATTGCATACGTGTTGTACAAGTCTAACATAATTCTTCTCGCAGTCCTCACTATACCAAGGGCGTCTCCATTGGCTGTGGCCTGACTGCCTTGATTGTGATCTTATCCCTCACGCTTCACTTTCTCTTGGAGCGTGAGAACAGAAGGAGGGACCGTGAGCACGGACCTGTCGGATCAGACACTACGGTTGATGTCACCGAGGAGGGCGACAAGAACAGGAACTTCCGCTATCTGACTTAATTGTCACTTAGACATGCTAGCTGTAGGTATCTTCTGGAGGAGCGTTTGTTGTATGCTGCAGCAATGGAAATATGGACAAACATGGACAAAGTTTGGGGATTGGAAGGCCATTTATTGGAGAAGATAATCACAATTATATTTCTTCCGCTTCATATGTTGTCGAATAACACATTTGTTTTACCCTGGCTGAGGTCAATGTGCCGTATAGCATAGAGGACGCGAGTAGGCAGAGATTATCCACATAGAACTCAGGGACCTCATCAGCAATCTAATTAAACTTACTCTCCATGATTTGAAATCCATGACTCGCTAAGGGAGCTTCATAGAGGGCTACGTAACTTTGTTTGTGGGACTTGTGACCGTCCGCTTCCTCCGCGAGTATCCGGGCCTAGCCATATCCATCAAAAGCGTACGGAGCAGTAGGAACCAATCCACAAGCTTCCCAGCCATTTGTAATGCCTTGATCCACCTATCTAGAGGAGATCGGGCCAAGCCTGCTTGGTCCTTGGTTCTTTACCCCGCAAGTTAGCTTGACCCCAGGATCAATCTTCATCGCGGGCTAATGCAGCCGTGGGCAATATAAGGAGCAGTCGTCCGGCCGGTGGTTTCCGGACTTTCTTCCCAGCCATTATCATCCGTGATACCCCCCTGCTCCGGCCTGCAGCAATGACGAGCTATTCGGGACGACGGGCGTCTCAATTTCAGCGTGTCTACAAGGCTTGCCAGTCATGTCGAAAGAAGAAAACTCGCTGCGTGTTAGATCCTAGCGACAGCCACGGTAGCGGCCCTTGCGAAAGATGCAAACGGGAGTCACGACCGTGTCTCTTCAGTCTAGAGCGATCTAGTCGCGGTCCTGAGAACTGGAAAGGGAGAAGAAACTCAGGTACGTCAACAACTAACGGCCACAGATGCTCTCGCTTGTCTGCTTGGTCTTGCTGCTAACCGGGGAAAGCAGATTCTCATATGCTCTACAACACCGCGGCTGCAAGAGAGCCTTCCATCGATAGTGCCGGAGATAACCCCATCATTGAAAACCCCCAATCGTTCCGACGACCGCCACAACCGAACAAACTCGACACTCTACAAGGAACAGAGATGTATCAGGGAACGGCCGAGAAGGCCTGTTCGGGAGGTGACCTGTCCGCTCTCTCCGCGAGGGATGGACTGGCAGACACTGTGATACGAACATTTGTCTCCAATGAAAACGAAGCTCTGGATCTTCTTTATTGCGCCGCGCAGCAACGAGATGCCGAAAGTCCGGTGCTATCAATGTCGGCGTCCCATCGTACACAGGTCGTAGAACATCTTACTCCTGTAACAATGGCATCAGCCGGACCCGATCCCGCGTCAAGATTGGTACAAACTAGCGACGTCTATCGCATCTGGGATTCCTTTAGATTTGTCAAAATGGGATGGTTCACCTCTAAGGAAGCAGTATCGTACATGGACTTGTGAGTAAATCCGACCAGCTAGCTACCTTTCTACAGTGCTTCTCTAACTTGCAACCTCACTGGATAGGTTCTTCAAAAATCTTGCTCCTATGTCTCCAGTCTGTCATGGCTGGGATTTGAGCCATTCAAAGCACTACAGCCTCGTTACTCAAGAGCCTCTTCTCGCTTGTACCATCTTGATGATATCGGCTCGGTATCACACCCTCCCCGGCGTTGGTGGAACTACTCGCGGCGTCATTATCCATCAACGACTCTGGGATCATTGCCAACATCTCATTATGCGAATCATATTCGGCCAAGAAAAGAAATCGAAAGCAAAGACTAGGACAGTTGGAGCTCTCGAAGCACTTCTTCTCATTCACGAGTGGCAGCCAAATGCCATCCACTTCCCCCCAGGCTCGGATGGTTGGGACTCCGATCTTCTGTTGTCTGTACAAGATGATCGGGACGACCCTTATGGAAACCAGGCCGACGCACCCGGCACAAGATGGATGGCCGACATCGTTGAGCCGGCCCGAATGTCAGATAAAATGTCCTGGATGCTGCTCGGCTGCGCCCAGTCGCTCGCCCACGAACTTGGTCTCTATGACCCCAACAAGACTGATATTCCCGGTTCACATCCCCTGAGCCAAAGGTCTCGGGGCCCAAGACTTGCCAAATTACTTTACATCTTCATCGAGCAGCTTTCCACGCGACTGGGATGCACCTCACTCGCGATGCACACGCAAGGTCGAGCTCTGCCAGACCGATCGCCTGCCGCCCCGGATTCGGCTTTTTTGTCAGCGTGGATTGAGCTAACGAGCCTTCTCCGTACAATCAGTGATGTATTGTTTCCATCATCGTTGGAAGCGCGGCAAATTCTTCTCGGAAGCAGGTACATCAACATCATTAAACACTTCAAGGGGCAGTTATTGTCGTGGAAGGCAGCCCATCTCAAAGACCAGAGCATGAACGCAGAATTCTTTACTTTACTATCTATCGACTACTATAACCTCAACATCTTCATGAACAGCCTTGGAATGCAGGCGGTGGTGGACCGCGTTCTGCAAGACGGAAAGTCGACCACTGAACGCCAGGACATACTAAACTCCTCCCTCACATCAACGGATTACGAGTTCATCCAGGAAGTCATCGATGGGAGCTGCTCGGTCCTGCAAAGTGTCAATAAGCTTGCAGGTGACGGCACCCTCCGCTATCAGCCTGTGCGCATATTCCTCCGCGTCATCGCCGCCTCCATTTTCTTGCTCAAAGCGCTCAGTCTCGGCTCGCGCTCGTCCAATGTCCAGTCCTCGCTGGCCATCCTAGAAGAGACGATCCAAGCTCTCCACACCAGCAATTTCGACGACATGCACCTTGCCTCTCGCTATGCCTCACTGCTGGATCGCCATGTCGCGAGGTTCAGGGAGCGGCTGGTTCCATCGTCTGTCCCTAGAGGAATACCTGCCTCCATCAACTGGGGCAGCGGTATGTGGGAAAATGGCATCGATCTAGCTGTTCAGATTAGTGATACAGATCTCTCGGCTGACAACTTCCAGCCAAGTGCAGAAGAGTGGATGTCACTACCATTCGATGCCTCGTTAGCACCATTTGGTCCGACGGGGGACACATTAGAAATGTCTGAATTTGGGGATAATGCATGGGAATTTCTGCGGAGCTGGCCCATCACATAGGGGCCACAGTGTTGATGTACCCCTTTTTGGTTTGGGTAGTTATGATTGTCTGATATTGGGGATGTAAACTTAAGAGCGTAGTTCAATTGATCTCTTGACATACTTATTCTGTCCCCTCCTTGGCGATGATGCAGGCACATCACTAAGCTTATTATTTACAAGAAGTGTCAACACGTTGATAGCTCTGGGTCAAAGCCACTGGTTGAACAACCAGGGTGTCATTGGGGTCCAGTAGCCAAGGCCACGCTGAACGGTGGCTTCAGAAGCTAGTCGAAGGCAAGTGTAATATGCCATGTCAATTTACTCTAAGTATGGTTCTCTTGTGCTAGAATACCACTAGTTTCTGTCTTTCTGAACGGAGCCCATGAAGACTCTTTCGAATCACCAGACGAACTCAAGTTGATTGCGTGTCGTTATGATCATTGCCCAAGGCTCAGCTGAGGATGATCCACAGCACTAAGTTTGTCTCATCAACTCGTGTGTAGATCATCCACTCAGCCTGGGCATAGCGGCACATTGATTTAGTCTGTTTTGGACAGATCCGAGTGGCAAAGAACATGAATTTCCCGTTTGGCACTCATCCAACGCAGATCCTGAAAGAAGTCTAATTCGGTTTAACTAATAACCATTCAGAATTGAACCAAATGCTCACCCAATCTTAGCTTCTGTGTCATATTCAATACGAGGCGAGTGGTGAATTGTAATTCATTCCAAATGTAAGAAACAAGCGCGGTATTGTGTTATTGAACAATCAATTTTCTTCCAGCCCACGTGTGGACAGCGATCTGCCCCTAGTTATTCTGTGCCTTGCTGACGAGACGATCGCGGCGGCGATGCCGTGGCTATACAGATACAAGGCGCAGCACAGCCCGTTCCATCTACCAACTTCTGACCTGAAGACTGAAGATCGCTTCCTGCAGTACGCACTTCGGCTTCTTGATGGTTTTGGAAAAGAGTTGCCAGAACAGTGGGGAGGGATGTTTCTTAGACTTCACGAATGGGGAAAAGATTCGCTCAACATACAATGACGTGTGCCAGGGATGATCTTTGGCCTTATTCGCAAACTCTTTGTATGATATGATTCAATTGGCTCAAAAGTCCCGTTAGGCATATCTAGCTCTCGCAGGGGCACATGGTCAACAGCCTTGACTGGTCAAGGAGCCAGGCAGTGCAAAATAGAAGCGTGTGCCAAGATCGAGGAAAAAAGCCAAGACAGACAGGAATGCGTGCACCAGCTCGCGTATTTATGCAGGCGATGCTCCTCCGCAAAACCTATTTGCAATTCAAAGTATCAAACATAGGCTAAACCATTAAACGCACATTCCATTTCCAGTCTCAACCATCCCTACCAACACCATGGCGACCACAATTGGGATTATCAGTATAGTCGGTCTGGCATTCATTGCCCTTTCCTTACTATGTTCTTTCATTATGACAGTTGCGGGGTTCTTTACTCTCCACCGTCGTGGAGACTACACTCGTTCATATGTTTCTTGGATTAAAGCCTCGATGACCCTCGGTACAATGTAAGCTGTCGTGCTCAATGTGCAATTCTGCATAGTATTCCGACTAACTAATCTCTCTTTAGATGGATGGCACTTTGGATTGGTGCTATGCTTTCACCAGTCATGTATTTTCCCAGAAGGAACATCTACGACAGTCCCCGTTTCCATCTTTACGCCTTCTATCAACTTTTCTACCTTGTGACACTTGCCGTCGTTATGGCCACTCAAATTGAAGTCGCTCGCGGCTTCAAGGACGCATCTAGCGGTTGGATCAAGGGCAAAACATCGAAGATCCTGCTAGGAGTCTTTGTTGTTCTGAGCGTTATCCGTTTCATTCTCTACGAAATCTCAGGCGTGACAACAGTCTGGGTCACGGTCGGAAGCTCCGCTATAGATCTGATTCAGTTCATCCTTCTCTGGGTCGGATCTATTGTGACTCTCGTGTATCTTGTTAAGGGAAAGGGGTACTTCACCCCCAGCGTAAGTTACTTTCCATTGCCAGTTATGTTTGTGATACAAGCTAACGTGATCCTCCTCCAGATTCAAAACTCTCACCGGGTTTATCGATCTCTACTAGCCATATTTATTCTCACTCTATTGCGCCAAACCTTCGAAGGCTTATATGCTATCGCGTACTTCGTTTCGCTGTTTATCAGCACCTACGACTCTTACGCCAACGTCTGGATAACCATCCTACATATCCCCCGTATCATCTTCACGGCATGGACGGTCACAGCAAATTTTGGTGTTTTCTTCGGCCTTGCCTCACTATTTAAGCATGGTCCAAGTCGCGTCAAGTATGACGGAGAATCAGCATAAGTTCCGAGTCGCACCGTACCGCTCCGAATAAACCTGCATCAATACGGACCAGGCCAAGTGTTATTGTTTAGATTTTTCCTATGTATTTTTCCCTTTCCGTTTATAACTTCGCCAGTGCCTTTGATGCTTTTTCTGGCAGCTGAGAACCAAACATGGCCATAAAGAGTCATACGATGAAATGATGAGATACCTACTCTTGCGTCTTCCTAGATCAGAACATGTAGTCAGTTAGATTTTATGGGTTTTGAAATAAATTGCTTTTTTATCACAACAAAAATCTATGCTGTATGTAAGCATGCTCAGCTCGGCATCAACATCCGACCAAGCGAGAAGTGCTTAAATGGGCGCCCGGTAAAGAGTGCCTTTTATGAAGCAAGTGGCTTCTATCGAAACGAGCGATTAAGTAGCGAGTCCAGGTTCGCGCCGGCTAGCCTAAACCGACAGTTTGATACATACCAAATGTAAGCACTATCTTGCGTGTGCATAAGAGCTCCCATGTCTGAAGTGAACGGCGGAAAAGTTGCCTTATCTCCGTTCCGCCCAATACTTGTATTGCAGTAGCTAAACTCAATTCCTTCTTCAACAAATACTGTGTCACCCATTGGCAATAACCAACCGACGCCTCTTGGCGAGATTTTCCTCAGACTTTCCTACGAACCTACTTGTATACTTAACAACTCGGACCTATCTATTAACAATGTCCGTCCCAGGTCTGAAACAATTCATGGCTACAGCGCCCGTAGCCAAGCCTCCCCAAATCCCGGACCCCTCGGGAGGCACTCCGCTAACACATCACGAATGGCGAACGGCAAGTAACAGCGCAACGCATCTCTTGCCAGCGCTCCACGTTCTCCGAGATGCCCGTCCCGATGTCAAGCTTCTCGATGTCGGCTGTGGCTCCGGTTCCATCACCGCGACTTTGGCACTAGAGATACCTCAAGGCCTTGTCACCGGAATAGATAAGGATCCCGAGATACTCAAGAGGGCGGAGCTAGTAGCTCGTTCTTGGGAAGCGGAGAACGTGACCTTCCAGGCTGGTGACGCATTGAAACTGCCTTTCCCGGATGACAGTTTCGATGTTGTCCATTGCCACCAAGTGCTCACTTGGCAAAAAGAACCGTGGGTTGCCTTAGCCGAGATGCTTCGAGTCACAAAGCCAGGTGGTATCGTCTCGGCGCGTGAGGGTGACTTCAGAACCGAGGCTGTGTGGCCCGAGACGGAGGGCCTAAAGAAGTTTCATGACTTCACAGAGAAATTAATGAAAGCCTCTGGAGGGCATTCTGATGGCGGGAGGCAGTTGCTCGGGTGGGCATTGAAGGCCGGGGCTAGGAGGGAGGACATGAGAGTAACATGGGGATCTTGGGGCTATAGCAGCACCGAGGAAAAGAAAGTTTGGTGTAAGTATGCCCCTTCTTATTTCTGCACCTCTAAATCGTGTGGATGGCCAGTATTAACCTCATCTCTCCAGCGGATGGAATGATTGGAATGCTCCAAGGGGGCAGGCTTCGGGGCATGGCCCTCAAGATGGGATTAGCAACCGAGGATGATCTCGATGTTATGATTAAGGCTTGGACTGAATGGTTCCAGAGTGAGGAGGCAACTCTCTCTATGATGTCTGGTGAGATTCTCGTTCAGAAATAGTCTTCAGTCCGAGCTCAATCACAAGAAGATTATGAAATCGCCGTTTTCGGCACGATGGCATAAGTCTCAAGACTTCTCAACCGCGTCGCTTTATCATCCTTCTCAAGTATCGCTAGAGCATTCTATTTCCTAACCAGTGCCTCGCTCAAAGCCCCCTTTAACCAGCCACCACGTCGCGCATGAAATCATGCCTGTGCCGTCCGAGTAGCAGGAAGATCTCCCCAACAGCGTCCGTCGCTCCTTGCTTCCAGCGCCCATCATGGGCAGATCATCACTTCCTCAGGGGCAGTCGAGTAAGCTCAAGAGGCCTCGTGCACGACTGCACTCGATGTATAAATACGACTTGGCACGTAATCCGATCCACCACCAACTTTCAGGAGGATTCAAACTATGAGCATCCTTCGGGGAATGCTGCCAGGGTTCCACTCACAATATTGGCACCACCAGAGAGGCAGCAATCAGAAATCCATGTGGTCCCACCAAATCTCCCTCCCTCCACCCAGAATCCTTCATATTGTCACAAACCACGTGTTGAAAAGCACAAATCGAGAACGATAGAGCGAGGAAGGTGAATGCGGGGGGCAGAAGGCAAGGGTCGGGGAACACTTGTTGGGGAGATGTCACCACAACGCCTCAGGTGAGTAGGTGGTATTATCCAATGCCCCCCTTACCGTACCCTGTCGTTCGCTTACAAGGAATAAAAAAGCAAGCCGGTTTCCCCTTATTAACCCTTACCCAAGAGATCACGTCTCTCCTGCCCACGGGCCGGCTGACTTCTTGCTTATTGCAAGTGAAAAAGAAAATCAGCGGTCGCAAAATGGGACTATTCCCTATTCCAAGCCGATTGTAAGGGTCAAAACCTTTGGACGCAATGGCCGGTTTGCATCATTGACCTCGTACTGACATTTATGCCACTGTGGCTCCTTCAGGGGTGTATTTCGGCTGAGTAATTTGGATGCCAGTCAACATGAACTCGAGTTCGAGTTCGATGACAAGTACATCTTTGCCGTCGCGCAGAAGTATCCCAAGGATTTGAACGAGGCTCTAGTCGTCATCTACTTTGCTACTCCTCCTTACAAGTCGAGCGAGGCAACCATATTCACAAGGACCGAGGATGGGACTGGATTTCGTCGACACGCCAAGATTAAGACCATCGGCAACCCCTGCTTTGAGGTCAGAGCCCGCTATTTCCCTCGCGATGAGCCCAAATGTAAGTGCTCAAACTTCGACAATTATGTACGCCACCGAAACTGATGGTTCCATGCAGTTTGCTTCGACTCTCCTCGGGCTCTTCTCTATGCACATAAAGGAGGGGCGAAGACGGTACGGATTGTCGACATGGGAATTAATATTGCTGAACGCCTAGAGGACCCCTTGTTCCATTCTGCATGGGACGAGACAGCTGGCCAGCGTATCCGCTACAAGGCTATTGAGGTAAAGAGTTCATTTTGATCGAGAATAAGTCTTGAAGCTGATGGCGTGTAGGGCACTGTGTGGGACGACACAAACTCGCGGAAAGTAATATCCATCAATCATTTATTGAAATGGGTAAGCATCTTGCTCCTCTTCCCATGGACCACATCATAGTATCATGTATTCTGGATTAGACGCTGATATGACAAATACAGCCTCTCAATGCCAAATTCGGATTTGAACTACTGTCAGAGTCGTCTCTATTTCGAAAAGGGCCCTGCCTCATTCCTGCAGAACATGTCTTATCAGTGGTTGCAATGGCCACCGTTCACACATTACTAGTCACAAGCTACTGGTGGGATGGCCTCAGAAGCTCGCCGCTGGTTCCAGAGGAGATTAGGCATCAGGATTAATCCATTCTGGCTGGCTAGATACGGCTTGTATATGAATCTCGGGAGAAGGTAATTGTCCGTATCGCCGGTTGATATATATCATTGCTTTCCTTCTCCTGATTGATGTATTTTATCTTTAACTTAAATATTTAGATAATGAGTTCTCATGATTTCTTACCAATAGCACTTTCACATCCTGGGAATTGTGTCACTAACAGACATACCAACTCATGTCTCAGCATCACCCTTCCACAACTTGCTCATTTTCACCCCAATCTAATTGCATGTTCTCATTCAGCTATTCCTCGAGAATTTACATTGTTTTTATCAATTTTATCCTCTTCTATTTACTTGATATATCTTGTGTCTAGTAGGAATTTGTTCCATACTTCACCAAACAATCACTGTTGAGGCTGTTTGGGACTTCATATCTTATATGAATTGCCGAACATCCCTCAAAAAAACCCAACTATGGTGAAGTGACAGTCTATTTAGCTCCAAGAGCCCAAAGAAAATTTCTTAGTCGGAACTTGACGATACTCTTTTGCAGCCGAACAAGCTCGTTGAAAATGGAACAGAACCGGTGAGTTCCTCTGTCAGGTTTAACGGGATCAACGGTACCGTATGGGATCGTATTGTGTGCCCTTATCCCAGTAAGGCCCAACTGGATTCTGGCTGCAGTGATCCTAAAAGTGCAGCATGCTGGAACTGTATAAGCTGAGGCGTTTGGTAGAATACCAATTCTCTGTCTGTTTTTTTATACTCCTGACGTATCTCCTATTCATGTCTCAAATATAATTCATCTCTTCTCCCAGTTCTTCCTCAGATAAATTCTTCGTTAGAGTATCAGTGTCAAGGGACTGGGCCTTTTCTTTGGATTAGCCATTTGCAGCAGTTAGAGTATCAAAAGCATAGTTCCTTGATACATTTCTCAAGAGTATGCAAGTCACAGCAAAAATGAACACTTGTTTTGAATATTATATCGTATTATACGTAAACTTTTGTTATTCACTTAGGCTCTGCCCAGCTAATGCATTTAATACCTAAACGATATATGTTAGTAAAGCTCGAATAAAGTCCGAAAGACGACGCGGCTATTGAAGCCAAGTCTTAGAGAACTTACGAGAAAGATTCCTTATGAAACCAAACTTCAGTGGCGGCAGCAGATCCATTGAGGATACCGCGTTGCGCCTCGGACGCAACCAGAGATACATCTCGCACCATCGAGCTCGGTCCACAAACAACCAACCCAACCGTCACGTCCTTTTCTTGCAAAGGGGTTCTAGCTAGTGCTGGTAGATCCGGTCGTCCCTTTTTGAGATGGACCCCGAATATATCAGCAACTGACGGTGCGGCACCGTCCTCAGGCGTTGTGTCGGTATGGACCTTTTTCTCGGCATCTTCTGTGTTGGAAACTGACGAAGCATCCACGGCTATGGCGGTGTCATTTGTTTGGTGAATCAGCACAGTGAGTCCAGGAACAGCCTCGGAGATCGAGTATCTCGCAGCCAGGTCTTCCAGTGCCCGAACAAACCAGCTGTGGAATGCAGGATCACGGGACGCCACAATGGCAGTGAATTGTTCGTCCTTCTTCCCCTGAAGCTCCTTTTGCAAGTAGCTTTCGATGAGCGGAAGTGTAGTACCAGCGCCCGCACCTCCGCCAATAACGAGAGTCCGATCGAATCCTTCACCCCATCTCACGGGGAGGCCGCCGTAAGGTCCATCAAGAAGAACAGCAACCCTGGCATTCGGCTGCTTCTCTGCTAGCTTAGCCAAGCGCGATGTCAAACCTCCCCGAGGCTTCACATGGAATATCATCTTCCGTCTGTCATCAGCGCTGGTACGCTCTGGCGAAGAGCAGATGGTAAAGGGGTGGGCAGTCAAAGCATGCACACCGCATGTCAGGAATCGGAGAAACACGTGTTGGCCTGGCTTCCACTCTGCGTCTGTTTCGATGGTGATCGAAAGGTTCTGCTCGGCATCGAGACTAAGGCTAGCCCGATGACGGAAACCGTACTGGAAGGCGGTGCGAGATAGGCTGTATAGCCAAGAAAGCGCATATAGAACACCAGTGGCAACAAAGTAGTCCCATGTTGTCAGGATATAATCGCAGTGCAGGAAGAAAAATATGAAGAAGACAACGGCGAAGAAGATATGGGTCGATTTGAAGAACTCATAATAGCGGTCTCTGCGATTTTGGTCAGTCTTATTCACTCTCTCAGAGGACGACAAAGGTAGATGCTCACCGAATTGACCGAATCGACATGAAGGTAAGCCATGCCTGAGCGATCAGCGCAATCACACCAGTCACCCACATTCCATCAGCCTCCCAGTTCTCAACAATGTCACCCTTCCACTCGTGGTAGATGATGAAGGGAAAAGTGTGGACAAGAGCCAAGACGAACATGGCCCATGCAACCCAGTTGTGGAAGACGTTTAGCTTCTCGTGCGATATGCCTGTCACCAGCGAGATGAAGTTGGCCTTGGTTCCCAAAACACTGAAGTTGAAGTTAGCTTCCGTTGAGTTCCAAAATTACTAGCACGTGCATACTATAGAAACGGCATGCATGCAAGTGCCATGTATCCAGATCGAGTGGCAATGGGAGGCGAGTTTCCATAGCTAAGTTCTTTCGTATTCGGCCAGTAGTACGGCTTCGGTCCCAGAGTCATTGCTATGATACTGTCAATACGCGATGAGAAGTTGCCAAGAATAGACATATATCTTACCTAAGAAGTAAACGAGTCCCACGGCACCAAGCAGGCAAATTCCAATAGATGGCGTACTCCATCCTCGGACGTGAAAACTAGTGTATGAAAGAAACCGTGTGCCTGAAAGGAGCCGTCGCCAGCCTCGGCTTCTTTTCCAGCTTGTTGGGAGGATAGCTGATAACACGTAGGCAATGATGAAGATGCCGATGGCAACCATGAAGAATGCAACGGTTGGCAGCGAAAACACGAGGTCTGCGGAATACCAATCTGTCCACCAACGCCATTTCCAAGCACACTGCTCTTCGGTCATCATACACTCACCACGATCACGGTCACCGTGGAACATGATCGGCTCCGTCAGCCATGGTAGCATCGGCATGGTTGCGAACCAGATTAATGTGCTGTCCCTCGGCTTATCCCACAATGTCTAGAGCTGCTGATCAAAGCGCTCGAGGTTGCTTGACCTGATTGAAGCAGCGTGTTGGGTCCGGCAGTTTTAGCTCTATATGAAGTAGAACAAAGAAGGGGCAACTGTAGGAGGAGGGAAAGGTCGGTAGCCATGTGATGAGCTCTTTTGACATTAATAATTCAAGCCCTGCCATTGATGCATTCCCTTGGTCCCAGATAAATTTTATCCATTCAACTCGCCCTGTTTCCGTCCAACCCTTGTTTCCAGGTGCCGTTTGCGTTTCCGGCAAACGTAAGAGACGTTGCCGTTTACCCGTAGTTAGTGAGATTTTGCTGATCGACAGGGTTAGATTGCCATATTGAGTAAGTATTTGGAGTTGTGGCCCCATCAGAAGACTGGAAAACGTGCTCAAACCCGCTCATTGTGTCCTGATGAATCCGCGTTACATCAAATTGAATACCCTTTCAAGATAATTGATAGACTGGTTGTTTCGTGGGCTTGTTCCTAGCATATCTTGCTCATACTTCTCCCCCCAGCTGACGAAAACCTTGATTAAAATTGCTCAATTAACACGAATTCTGAAGCTAGTACAAGGAGTGAAGCTAACTCTTTTTTTTATTCTCGCATCACTCCATTCCTTCCAGTTCAGATTCAGTCATTGCTGTTTTTTCCAACTCTCTGCTAGTTGGAGAGTAGCCTTCATGATGAACATGGCTACGACAACCGCGGCTGGCATGTCAATGAGCATGGACATGCCAGCTGCAACTTCGACCTCATCCATGAGCATGGGCGACAGTGACGAGAGCATGATGATGTCCATGGCTGATATGACGATGACGTTTTTCGACTCCATCAAAACGCCGCTGTTCTCCAACGCCTGGGCACCAACCACGACTGGGCAGTACGCCGGCACTTGCATATTTCTCATTTTCCTCGCTGGTATTTTCAGAGTCTTGATTGCGTTCCGACCGGTCCTGGAAGCGTCAGTATGGCGCGGCTCTCGATCCGTAGTCGGCACCCACAGTCCTGGAGAAGACGCCGACAAATCTGGGCTACCGAGATACCCTTCGCAATATGGCTGGATTACCTTCAGATCAGAACTGAGAAGGCGATGGACGGGGTGGAGAGCATCCGCTGCAACTGGGCGAGCGTGCTATGAGCTGGTGATAGCTGGCATTGGATATCTTCTGTAAGTCGAGCACGTCTGCGAAGCCTTTCATGGTCTCGTCATGAATCAAGTCTGACTCCCTCCAGTATGATAGCAGTGATGACTATGAATACTGGCTATTTCCTGTCGGTCCTAGCCGGAGTGTTCTTGGGGACCTTCTTGTTGGGAGGTCTTGCCCATGACGTGGAGGATTCGGCTCGCTGTTGACCAATGCCCATATGTACGCTTCTGGTGCGGCATTCTCTACCTTCAAATTTCTCGCGCCAAGCCAATGTATCTAGTCATTGAACAAGGAAGAAATCCCAGCCGGAGCCTTATATTAATTTCATAATCAACCACTAAGATGAACTGCCGTTGTTTCAACCAAGGTCTGAACTGCACTTTTGTAGGAGAGATAATCGGTTCAGAAGGAGGGGCAACAACCGTTTTCACAGCACTCCACCGCTTTCTAGCGAGAGATATTCCTCTTGGTAAAGCTAGATAGGTATTGGTAAGCTAGATTAAAGTTGAGGCTTTTCTCCGACCTCGCTCCCACGAAGGAACACTATATTTTGCTGTTCCATCAACATTTCCGCGTTCGCTGTAATTTGGACGTAGCAAAACAAAATTAAGCTCTCGTCAATAGAAGTCCCTAATCCGGTGAATCTTTTGAACTATTGGTGAAAGTCCCTGCCACACATGTGTTATTCATCGGCTTTAATAGATAACCCCTTATTGACCCAAGGTCCAGCATTTACCAACGCACCTTCTCATCAATCATATTACTCAGCGTGGTATCCAAATAACAGTGGTTACTGGCTACTACGCTCGGCCGAATAAGTGAGTCCCATTCTCAACCCGGCTATCGGTCGAGATGCAATCAACGTAACCATTGAAGGCGTAGTACACGTCAAGCTCTCTCAGAAAAGCACACTCCCCCAAACAAGATCCTATTATTCCGTCAAACGTGGAGATTGAATGCCTTCCAATCAGGTTCTTATCTCCAGAGCAACGTATCATGAAAAGACCTTCATGCATCGCTACATACGACCCAGTCGCTTGTTAATAGGGCAAGCATGCGTAAACCCCCAAATGATATGCTTCTTTCTTACCATCTCTTTTACACGGCGTATAACTCTCAATATGTGAACTCTGGAAATTTCCATCTTGGTATATCTCAATTTTGGTGGACTCCCCCTTTTTGTATTTCCTCATGCATCTACTGTTGCTGCACCAGTGTTGACTTTGGCTGTAGACTTGGCCGGACCTTAGCAATCCTTCCGACTAGGATAGAATCGTCCATGTAACGAGGGCGACGGATGAGATAGGCTAAATTGAACAATGAGGATGCCGTGCAAACCGATTTGTATGACAACTAATCGCGCAATCAGTCGTAATCATCTCTCATCTGCAGCCCAATGGTGACCTTGAACAGCACGTCCAGCCAATAAGAGCGAATATACGTGGCGTCTACCCCTTGTATTATTCAATGATTCATCTTTTAGAACTCAGATACTCTGATTACGCGGCTTTATCCGGCTTTGATTTCTATTGTTAGCATGAACCTGCCACGAGATACTTTCCGCAATAGGCAGTGCGGAGGGAACATCGCCACCACTACAACCGGTCTTTTAACGATTCGCAATTGAGATGTAGGTGAAATTGCCAGGATTCATGCCTTCGGATAAAGTAGTCTTGAGGACCACCAATCCTATGAGATATTCGTCGTGTGACAGCCCACTGAGCCCCCGCATGACCAGAACAACGTCTCAATATGTCAACAAGACTAACTGAAGTGGGTTGAATGTCCCAAAGCTCCGTGTTTCTGACCTCTTTAGGATAGAGTGCATTATAAAGAAATCATAATTATTGATGATATATATAGAGCCTTCTCTTCTCGAGTATCTGTTGAACTAACCAACATTAATAGGATCATACCCAGCTTCCAGAGAGAAGAAGATCTCACAAAATAGTGAAAATGCACTCTTCACTTATTATCGGCGCTGCATCTGCGGCACTCTTTAGCCTTGCTGAGGGCCACGGATGGTTGACTGGTGCCCGAGTCAATGGCGCCGGTTGGACAGACGGGCAGAACCCAAACTGGTACTATATTACCAGTCCTCCGGCTACGGCGGGCTGGAAAGCTCTCAACCAGGACAACGGCTTTGTCGATCCGGCTTCATTCCAGACCTCAAACATTGACTGCCATAAGAGCGCAGTCACAAACACCCAGTATGTCACCGCCAACGCTGGTGACACACTCACACTGTACTGGAACACCTGGCCCGATAGCCACAAAGGTCCAATCATCAACTATATTGCACCTGTTTCAAGTATGTTACTACATTTCTCATTTATGATTTCATTTAAGAGCCAACATCTTGCTAACTCCCGGTGAAGGCTTCGCCTCGGCAACCGCAGGCAACCTGGGCTGGTCTAAGATTTCAGAAGCTGCCTGGATCTCGGGATCTAACCCAGGAACCTGGGTAACTGACACGCTCATCGCCACCGGGAATTTCAGCAGCACCGTCAAGATTCCCTCAAAGCTCAAGGCCGGTAATTACATCCTTCGCCATGAGATCATCGGACTCCACAGCGCCGGCAACGACAATGGCGCGCAGGCCTACCCGCAGTGTCTTAACCTCGTAGTCGGTGGTAGCGGAACTGTATCAGCACCGGCTGGAACAAAAGGCACTGCCCTCTATAGCAGAACCGACCCGGGAATCCTGTTCGACCTCTACAGGACATTCTCGAGCTATACTATTCCCGGGCCTGCTCTGTGGACTGGGGCCAACTAGTGAAAATATCTGCCTGTCTCTGGCCAAAGACCCGTGATAGTTTCCTGTCTATTCACCGCGAAGTCTAGTAATCAGAGATAAATCAATTGGTTTCACCCCCGTTAGACCCTTACATTACCCTTGTACACTCACACGGTATGGGATGTAGGCAGATGCGAAAGAGAATTAATGTTATTAAACACTCATTGCGACCATATGTGCAGCTTAGTACCATTAGAAAATAATATTTTCCTAGGCTTTTGTTTCCACGGTGGATTTCGCTGATCAAATAACACTACCCGTCACCATCAAATTCAGCGGTCGCCTCTAATCGTATTCGGCTATCCCTCTTCCCTCCTTGCTTCCTTTCCCCTTGCCTTTCGCTTTGAACTTTTTATTCGCTCGTCTAGGCAACGAACGTCCGCCAGGGTCTTCAGCTACTGCCTCTTCATCTTCAGCAGCCTGGTCCTTTTCAATATCATCTCGTATCAATTGGCTAATCTTTTCAAGGTTACCATGGAATACTTCTGGCTTCCACCACCCGTCTTCTTCAGCTCCCAGGAATGGAACGATATTCCTGGTCTGTAACAGTCTTTCGCACCATTGAGGAGCAACGTAGCGCTCCAGAATGAATCCAAAGACATGATAGTTCTTGACTTTGTCCAAAATGTCCTCCGGTCTCGGTTGAACAAACACTCGTTGCCTGTTGCTCTCGTAATCGTAAACAATAGCATAGTACGATTTTCCAATGTCGAGAAACGGAAGCGGTTCCCATACGTACGTGAGCTGGGGATGTGCCACATACTCATCGTTCTTCATCCAATTTTTATGATACAGCCAATTCAGAGCTGTCCCTTCTAGTTTGATCCAACCAAGACAGTCGCGGAATGGTTCTTTGAATATGTAAGGCTTCAGATGTTCGGTATCGGGCCTAGGAGGAGTGTCACCCAGTTCAGTTGTTGACAGAGCCTGCAAATTCGCTTGAACCTCAATATCTGTACTTGGATCGTGGTTAAGAACTATTTGTTCTTTTTTTGAGGCTGCAGTCGTGAAAGCGTCGTTGATCATGTCCATTAAGGCGCAGTTCAGAAATTCCTGTTTCATCCTCCGATAGCCTAAGAGGCTTTCTAAGTCGCCACTTTCTTCGATGTAGTCAGATTCTAGACAGTCCGTGTTGAATGTGAACTGAGTAAGCTAGACGTGAGTATGTATATGATTGTCAGAGAAAGGGCTCGTGTTTACAATCGTGATGAAGACATGTTTCTTCATCGACTTGATGCGACCTCTCACCGTAGCAGCATCATAACCTGGGTGTGTTACTGCTCCAAGTTCGATATCATCAACAGATATCGGACACTGCCGGAGCTTTGGATGTTCGAAGTCGCCCCAGGAACGACTGGGGCTTCCAACTTTAAGCTTTTCTGAGACAAAGGGGAGCAGAGGTTCCCGGTACCCTGGTTCACGAGGAGCTGCATATGGAAAGTTGACGCTTCGATACATTCCCAAGAAGAATCCTATATTGCAAAGTCAAAGCAGGTGGTAGATTCACTCAAGCCTTGCTGTTCGAAGAGGCAAAGATTCGATATGTGTGATCAAAAGAAGATACGAATGAGGAATTACGATGAAGGTCTAGATATAGAGAGGGACCACAGATGTTATTGATTCATCACTTGCCCAAAACTTAAAAATGTGAGTCATGACCAAACAGACCCGACACCGAATGTCATCAGGCAGTTATTCTTGTATTCTGTGGCTAAGCGACAGGGATCACGGCCATTCGCCTGCCTGTATCCTGTAGGCGAAATGGCCCATCGACCTAAAACGGTGAAATAAGCCGAATCCCATCAGCGACTACATGAACCGTGCCTCGCGGGCCAGAGCGAAGTTTTCCAATCAACAAGAGACAGGCTGTCCTTCTCATCGAGACAGGACTTCAAACATGCTTCTGCGTTATCCACTGCGGCGAAAATTTTGTGTGCTGTTTCGCCTTCCAGCCGGATCATCCACGCGCCTCCGAGATCAATACGAGCGTCACCTCTGTCAGGAGCTGCAATTCTGCTCTTTCGGATCCTCATATGCTATGTCAGAAGCTCGCCGGACATCCATCGGCGCTTTGGCGGAGTGGTTAACGCGATGGCCTGCTAAGCCATTTCCTTCGGGAGCGCAAGTTCGAATCTTGCAGGCGTCGATTCTTTTTTGCTCCTTATTCTTGATACGTGTCCTGTTTTACGTGTCTTGTTTTGCTACAGTACACGCGCCATTTGAAGCGACCAGCTCCGCGCCGCGAATCCTTGTCGCGTGGGAGCTTGTTGAAAAAGGAAAGGTTAGGCAACTTGGGTGCTGCTAACCATACTTGGAAAAGATGTAATTAGGAGAGAAATCGGTACAAACAAGAACTTCATGTTTCATTTGCCTGGGTCGATGCTGTAAATGCAGGACTGATTGATTGAGCATATCGCAGAAAAGAGGGTAGAAAGACGAGACATCATAGTTCTTGGACTGACGAGACATTCGTCCACTTGTAATGAACCTTTGAAAATTGTAACGCTTCACCACGTTGTAGACAAAATCTCGTCCCAACTTGACAGGAAGCTTCATTCACCGAACTGATACCTTTCTAATCGCGCAACATCCTATTACATCTTGTGCCTGGGTAGACCAGGTATTCTTCATTAGAATAAAACTCTTTATATAGCATTGCTTTGTTCCTCAGTAGGAGACATTGACTTAGTAGATAAAAAGAACACTGAGACTAATGTATCTATAGGGTAAGACTTAGCCGCTGTGAAACCAAAAAATCACATCAGTATAGTGCTTATCTCGAGGTTGAATCATGAGTTCAAAATGCCGATTGAGGGAATAATAGATAAAAAGACAATGAGATAAAAAGGTCAAGGCACAGGGCAAAAGAGCAAAAAATTCGACGCCTGCAAGATTCGAACTTGCGCTCCCGAAGGAAATGGCTTAGCAGGCCATCGCGTTAACCACTCCGCCAAAGCGCCGACGGTTACTTATTCCCGGGCAGATGATCACCATAGCCTTCGAATCAGCCTTCGGAAGGGCTGCGCCTCCTAAGGTTGATTTGCATGTCCCAGACGCTTTCTCCTTGCTCAGCTTAATGAATTGGTACAATCTCGGATACTCCACTAATTACGCTTGTTCCGAAACCCAAAGAAAGTAGAGACCGTCTCGGCAGCCTTTTCTGGTATTAACTTTGAAGCTGTCTACATTCATGTTGCTACAGACTTTGAACGACTTTTCGTTTGCGCATAATCAAAGCCCTACTCTCTGTTCATTCTGTATACCTTTAACATTGTAATAGAAGACAAGGATATACCAAGTTAATATTTTACGAGGCTGAGAAATAAATGATCAAGCTCTGAAGATTCTAGACAAACTCGGCAACAGTGGAGACTTGCGCTCTAACGGTATGATACAATCCTCTCTTCAGTGTATGCGTCTTAACAAAGCTATTAAGTTGGTGATTATGACTGCTATTGCACAAAATAAGAAATGGGTTTGCTTTATATCCACATACGAAAGGCGATGGTTTGAAAGAAGAATCAAAATTCGATTGTCATCGTGTTCTTAATCTCAAACCAGTACTAGACTCACCTCCAGTCTCATTACACCTGAAATGTCCTGTGAGATCGGCGCTAATATCTATTGTTGATGCTCCCATGTTCTACACAAAAAGAGGGCAAGTATACGTGTCGTGAGCCTGCTGTCATATGACTTTCAGAGGCAGCCGCATGACTGGCTCTTCATCCTATTGCATAACCCAACAGCAGAGTTTCTAGTCATGCATCTGGATTCAAATGAGAGATGGATGTGAGGCGTTGACGCACTCTCAATACTCGATAAACTACAGCCCGGCAGTTAATGTCCATACTATAATAACTCTATTTGGTGAATCTGAGGCCTACATTCAACCAGGTACAAACAAAAAGACACGTATTCGCACAATCGGATGTATTTTATAAATATATACCAGCGGGTTCTCACATGGCACGTAGAAGATAACGAGAAGGAGGCTAGATTTGTTGGACAATTCATCATATCGACAATTGCCAACCTAGGCCGTAAGCTATCATGGTGTAAGCATTTTATCACTAATGACAAGTGTGTTAACTTCGTGGGTTTGTTGCTTACCCGAGAATGGTTCACAAGGGGTTGGGCGATTCAAAAGTTCGCCTACACATATATTTATTCGCTGCTACTGGTCCTACGCCTAAGAGATTTTCTGATGATGGTACGCTTGGCGAATAAATGTAATAATGCTGGTACTTTGTATGGCTTTGGTCAAACTGTTATCAGCATAGAACTGAACACTAGACGTATCATACAGTATCTCATATACAACTTGCCTCATTCAACCATGAGGACGGCAGTGACTCTAACTACATGTAGAGAACTGGGCAGAATAAGGCTATGTCCGAGAACTTATTTTTAGGGACATTGTCTGTCGTCTGGAGGTGATTTCATTGTACTGGCTAGGAAGCTGAAACTCAGCTGTGCTTGATAAGCTCAGTGCTTGATATTTGACGATGTTAAGAGTTTACAGCGTTTTCCCTATGGGATATGAGCCTGCCTAGTTCGGTCCGAGTTTGCCCAAGGTTGCACCGCACCGAGGGATGATGAATTTGCTCTAAACGTACTGATTAATAAGGATATTTCTTGCATGACGGCGACGAAAAGATGCGAATGATAATAAGGACTAGAGTAAAGCAGATAAGCACTAGTTATAATGGAATCTAGGCTTAATGGCCGAGGAAGGCTGGGGTAAAAAGAATCCCCGGGCTTGGTACCACCCTCCTCAGGCTAACGCCGGGGAAATGTGCCCTCTGTGCTAGTATCAATTGATGTACGGCAAACTTCAAATCATATAAAGAGCAAAAATAAGCAAAAAGGAATGGAGATAACGACAAAAGAAAGAGAACCGACGCCTGCAAGATTCGAACTTGCGCTCCCGAAGGAAATGGCTTAGCAGGCCATCGCGTTAACCACTCCGCCAAAGCGCCGCCGGTTGCTTATTCATCTTCATCATTGGACGGAGTTGTCCTTTCCATCGGGGGTCTCATTGTGTGCGTCTGTAGCCGTTTGGTAGACAGGAGAGGAGGAATATGGTGAGTCCTAGTTGACTTTTGGCTCCTCTTCATACAATGGTCTTATGTGATATAAGGAGCGCTAAATCTCTCTCTCACTTCAATTGTGTAGTTACAGAAGGTGTTCATAGGGCCTTTCACGAAATAGAGAAAGGAAACCTTGGATAAGTTGACGATTACCATGTCGAAGCCGATTTATTGTTGGGCTAAGGATTGCTTAAATCAGATGCTGTTGTGTAGTGGGTATAGGATGGGAAATGAGGATTGATAGTGTGATGAAGTATCGGAGCACTCGAGTGATGAATTTTAGGACAGTGCCGAGTTTGGCAGATGTTATACATGAATACAAGGCCGCCTTATCGTCTGAGAAGTGCTATGACTTTGTCTCAATGTCCTATGGCCCAGTCAGGGAGAAAGACGTTCCTACAAGGGCCTTCAACGAGCGTATTTGGTTTTTGAAAAGCATTTAGAATTTGGCAAGCTGATGTAGCGGGTTATATTGCGTGGGAGTAGCTTCTACGATATATCAATATTATTGGCACATATATTGATAAGGGTTGTGTTCAAAGAAATGGATTATGGAGGCTAGCTATTGGTTTCAACAACTGTTATCATTGAAAGAGGCTTCTCTTCCTCTTTCGGAAAATACATACGAGGCGGGCCAAGGTTTCCTCGGCCTTTTAATGTGTCGGAGGTTTCTTACTGTTGTTTTCAATATCTTGTACAGCCTCGTAGTAAACCAAATATTAATTTCGCCATTTCCTAATTTGTTTTCTGAATTACATATTTGTCTTTATAGTCACATCATTTATGATAATCAATACCACCTACCGCTCCCATATTATAAAAAAACCATGAACTCTCTCCATGAGTATGTTAGTCCTCTTCAAGAACAGCCTCAATGATACTCTCCGCAACCAGGTCTCCCCTCCAAATCTTCGACACACGAAGTCCAACACTCTGAAGAAGGTCTGAGAAATCGCTCTCCGTTCTCTCTTGACTCGCCAAACAAGCCATCATGGTGATATCTGAAGTTGCTACTCGAGCTGCCGGCTTCTCGTCGCTCAGCATGCTCTCATGAATTAATAACTTGGAATATCCCTTCTCCATTGCATTTGAAATGTTCGTAAGAAGAGTAATCACCTGCTCTCCATCCCAATCATGCAAGACATTGTGCATGAAATACACACAGGCGCCTTTTGTAGGCTGGGACTCGAAGAAGTCGCATGGTTGCAAGATGATCCCTTCCAAGGTCAGATTGTTCAAGATATTGGGCAGGTCCTGAAGTACCAGTCTGCCTGCAGCATCAGGATGACATTGAAGAAACTTGATCAGGTCGTGGCCTCTGCTTCCGCCAATGTCGACGACAAGGGGACCGTCATCCTTGGCTGACTC